CTCCCAGTAAAGTGGTATAAAACTTGTTATACCCAATGGAACAGTTTAAAACATAACAGTTACTGCTGTGTTGCAGTAGTTGAGCTTGATAAAGTTTGGGTTGTTCAGCACAGTTCTGTTTCTTCTGCAGGATAGGTTTAACTCCAGAAAGCTATCAGAGTGCATTTTGGTGCATTCTTCTTTATACACTTCAAGTGTATTTTCCCTAGGAATTAAAGAATCATTTTTCATTTTTCCCAGTTCATGGGGGAAAAAAAAAAAAAAAAAAAAAAAAGATCAGTAAACTCTACAAGGAAGTCAAGAATCATTTTAGTTTCTGAAAACTATGACCAATGTCAGGCAAGCAATAGTAGGTGGAGTATGGTGGTGCTGGAACACTGATCGTGCAAGTAGATTGAAAAACCAAAGGAATCTCAGTGACACCAACTGTGAAACTCCCAAGTACCACAATTTTGGCTGCTATGTTAAGAATTAGAGTTTATGTTTTCTCCATAATGAGGTGCAGATTCTACATTTTTAGAGTTCAAAGCTTTCTCTAAACTCCTGCTTTATGCTGGTGGTAATGACTGGCCCTCCAAACCAGCTGTCATGCCGTTTATCAGATGAGAACATGATGGCTGTAGTTAACAGTATCCCAACTTTGAGCCTTCTCTGAAAAACTGAAGAAAATATGCTGTACTGCATGCTGTACTGTAAATGAAATAAGCTGACTTGTCTTGTTTCACAGTTCATGGAGACTGGGTACGCTAAGAAGACATACTTGTGATGACGCTTGTTGATCAGTGGTAAGGCTGGGTTGTAATTGTACAACGATGAACTGTGGCACATCATGCAGTGTGGATTTAGTTTGCTTTTACTTTGCTGGTTTTAGTCTGTAAAGAGAAGGCAGGGGATAGGTTTTATGATTTTTGTGAGAGTTTTCTTTTTCTCAGGAAAAATTCAACGACGGTTAAAAGCGGTACTGCCTATTTTGAGACCAGTATCTTGGATTATATTCAAGAAAAGCAGCACAAGGTTTCTATTTTAGTAGTATTTGGATTGCGGTACTGTTAAAAAATGAATTTTAAAAACATGGAGCTAGCCAATTAATTATATAATGGTAGCAGAATTCAGGACTCCCATCTCCCATTCCTAGCATGCTCTCTAGATTTATTGTAAAATCTGGATAGTGCACCTTAGTTATGTACTTCATTTTCTAAGTTAATAAAGTTAATAAATTTATGATAGGTGTTTTGAAGTTAACCAGCAGAAACTGTTCCAAAATGTACAGCTTTACCTAGAAAGAAAATGTCTGAACTTACAGCCAGGTAGAGACGTTCTCAGCTACACCTATTAGAAATCATCTGACATGCTGCCCACTTTCATGAGCCCCTCATACTGATGTGTTTAAAAATTCCTAGTAAATTTCTGCACTTTTGGAACAGAACTATGAGTTTTGCTCTGCTTCTGTAGAGATAATGGTGCAATTCATGTGAGACTGCTATTTCTTCCGAATTTTCTCACATTTCCTTGGACTTCTGAGATGTGTGAGAAGCACCATCAACTGAAATGTGACAGACATAAGCAAACACTGTATAGGTTTATTAATGCCCCACTCAAGATCTACTGGAAATATGCTGTCTCTGATCCCTAAGAATACAAAATTTCCCGCTGCATTAACAAGTAAAAACTTTCAAGGAGGGTGGTGCAACTCCTTCCAGATGTGGCCTAAGAAATTAACAGAAAACAAACTATATTTTTTTATCTCACCAGTACTTAAAGAGAAGAGTAAGAGATTGGCTTAGACAGAAAATACAACTTATCAAGACAGGAAGTGAAGACAAGCTGGAAAGAAAGTTAAACACTGTATTTTATGTGCAAAGGAAAGAAAAAATGGTCTGTGCCATTTCTTGATGTGAAAATGTTAACAGACTAAATTCTTATTTTCGCTAGAAATTCATGCTTTATCTCTCTAGGAGAATTAGAATAGAGAATTGGTGGGAATATTCAGTTCCTCAACTTTCAGTTGCTTGAAACACTTTTCCTTTCCTACAGTCTGGGCACTACGTAACCATCAAAACTTGTGAAGAAATGGTGATGCTAACAAGCAACAACCCCTCATCTCCAGTTACGCTGTCAGCCTGAGAAACATCACACTAGCTTCTATTTGCTTTGGTGAGACTTTTCAGAATTTCTGTATCACCACAATTAATAAAAGATAGGGCATTATATATTTTAAAAGTTACATTAATTTCTGTTGTGAACAGACATTTATAACACAATAATAAAATATTCAAGAATGGTAGGAAAACCATCCGAAGAAGCAGCAGCCATTTGGTCAGGAATGCAACCTCTCAGAACAGGACTGCTGCCAAAGGGCAGTTCAGAAATGAGAGATTCCCCAAATAGGACAAAACACAGTAAGAATTTGAAGCAGAATCCTGCCACGTGCTCCAGTAGCAACATGAGACAAATGCACTCATCCTCATGTTCTAGCTGCAAATTGATAAAACTTCTGCAGTCTTCAAACAAGAAGGCAATCTTATTCTTACTGGACTCCGAGCTGGCCTAAACTTGGATCTGCTTAGCTGATTCTGTGGCCAATGTAAGGCTTCAAAAACTGAAAGTAAGGCCCTTTCATGAGAGTAAGAACAGGAGCACAGATAACATTTTGCTATTTACATAACTACCTTGGTATCAGCCAAACCTCCATGTTTGGTACAGTGATCAGAGGGAGTCCCATTCTGTGTTAGTATTAAACAGACACAAACTTCTCAAGGGCAAAAAAAAAGTGGAAATGAATTGTTCAATTTAAAAAAAAAAAAAAGCATTTTATTTAACTGTGAATTCATAAACTCAGATTCCAATGAATCATACAGTTAAGGAGTAATGCCTATATGAGATGTTACACAAAAATTCTCCTTTGCAGGATTTGCAAATACCATAAGATGATCCAAAGAAGGGGGAGTAGGGAACTAATTAGGGGAATGAGAAGAGCATGACTTGTTGAGTCCAGCAAAATAAAGGGTGTGAGGGGATGAGATTGCTGTCTATAAATAATTCTGGCAGGGGATACACACAGGAGGGAAAGAAAGGCTACTTTAGGGCAGTATTTGCATGGGAAGATGGATGTAGACAAGTCCCAAGGAAATGCAGGTTTGAAGGTTAAAAAAAGGCTTTCCTGTGAGAGAAGTTTCTGTCAGACAGCCTCCCAGCAGCAGCAGTGAGGGGTGAAGCGTTTACTGCCAGAGCACAATCAGTTTATGGAAGGATAAAACAGCCATTTGCAACACTGAAGAGCTGGGTGTGCTACCGGGTGGAGAACTGATCTGCCTAGGCTGAAAGCTGCCAGCCAGGCTGAGCCTCCATACCTGGGTGCGCTGTCACCCTCTCCAATCAGGAGTGCAGACACACAGCAAATTACAGGAAAATCAGAGCTGACATGCAGAAAACAAAAGCATCCGTGATGAGAATAGGGAAAAACAATTATTATTTTGGTCAAAGTGAGCAACGGGGACTCGTGGAGTTTATTATTACCAACATACACCCCTCTGAGGCACGTTTGTCTTTGCAAGCCTATGTCCTCTCTTTTCAGTGCTGGATTTGATTACTAGGTGACTAAAGATGTGAGTGCTTTGCAAAAGGTAGATGGTTAGCTCTAATTTTAGCAAACGTCTTTAATGTGGACGTTGAAAGATAAATGGTTGCTACTGCATTTAGGAAGATTGCTAGCTCCCCATGGAGTGTTGTTCAGGAAGATCCATATCTGCAGCTGCAGAAAAAAACCCAACCTAACAGTACTTGTGGTTCTGTGGGAAATGCTATGTTGGTAAAGGAGCAATCATTTTGTGAGAGCTCTAGCCGTCAGAGATCAGCACAGGGGGCTTTCCGGAAGGCACAACAGCCGGCCTGCTCCTCCTGCCAGCACTGCAGGTAACTGCTGGGCAGGCGGTGCTTTTTCCTCCTTTCTCCTCTGGCTTTGCCCTGTGCCCCCCGTGCAGAGCTTGGCACAAAGAAATCGTGGAACGATTGGTTGGAATGTAATTTTAAGAGGCCTCACTATGTATCTGTGCAGGTGAACCCGTCGGCATCATCGCATCTGTCTAACCATCTCCACGCTTAGCGCTGAAGGGACGAGAGTCGGCGCGAGGGCATCTAACCATCAGGCCCCACCACCAGACAGGAGGGAGCCGGCGTTTGCAGGTGAACGCTCAACTCTGTCCACGTGATTCTTGGTATAAACAACGAGCGTGGAAAATCCGCGCTTCTAACACCGGCGAGCAACGCTTCTAACACCGGTGAGCGACGCTCCCCGAGCCGGACCCCGACCCAACCGCTCGCGATCCCCGCCACTGCCCAACCAGCGGCCTCCCCCGGAGCTGGAGACGCCGCGCCCCGCCCCGCAGCACAACGCCCGCGGCCCGGTCTGGGCTCGGCTCGGCGGCGGGAGCCGCTGCGGGGCCGCGGGGGCGGGGCCACGCTGGCCAATCAGGGGGCGACATCGAGCGAAGGGTGGAGCCAAGCGTTGAGTGGCAGCTGCCGAGATAAACAACTTGCCGCACCGCATCGCGGCACCCCGCTCCTCGCGGCCCTGTGCGCGATGGCCGCGGTAGCGGGGTTCGCGCCGTCTCCGCGCAGGAGGCGCCGAGCCGAGTGGCGGTCTCTCCGCTCCCGCGACGTTAAGAGTCGGCAAGTTCCCGGCGGCCGCCGAAGCGCTCGCCGTCTCCGGGGCGCGCAGTGCGCCGACGCCGCCTAGCCGCGGCGGCGCGGGGCATTCCGGGAGTCGTAGTTCAGCCGCGGCCTTGTCCCGCCCACACCGCCGGGGCCGGCGCCTGCCGCCGCACTACCACTCCCGGCGTGCCCCGCGCCGTGCCGCGAGGAACCCAGTTGAAGCGGGTGGCGGCGGAGCTCACCCCCTCCCCCCGCCGAAAAGCCCCGAACCAAAACAAAAACAAACCGCCCCCCCCCACCCCGCCCGCCCCCAGCGAGCCCCGGAAATGGCGGCGCCGGGAGGGGGCTCCGCCGGCCGGGGGTGCTGATCCGGCGCCGCGTCCCCCTCCCGTCCCTCCCCGCCCATGGGCGAGACATGGACTACGAGTTCAAGTCGAAGCTGGCGGCCGAGCGCGAGCGGGTGGAGGATCTGTTCGAGTACGAGGGCTGCAAAGTGGGTAGAGGCACCTACGGGCACGTCTACAAGGCCCGCCGCAAGGACGGGTAAGGGCCGCGCGCCGCCAACCGCCGCCGGGGCCGCGCGTCGCCAACCGCCGCCGCTGGCCCCCCCGCAACGCCGTCCGCGCCCGCCCTCCCCCCACCCTCAGCCCGGAAAGTTTCCCGGCACGGGCGGGCAGGTGCGCGGGCTGCCCACGCGTGTCCGTCACCGCCTCGCGGGGTCGCGCTCGCGTCGGGGGTTCTGCCCCGCGAGCAGGAAGCCTGAGGCGGCCGCGACCCGTCGGAGCGCCGCTCCGGTGAGCCGGGCGGCCCCGAGGATGCCGGGCAGCTCCTCCGGCCGCTATAGCCGCGGCTGCGGGATGGGGGCTGGGTGCTCCCGTTTGCGGATCGCCACCTGTCCCCGTAACCCGCAGGAGAGCCACCGCGTCTCTTTGCTCTGCTGTCTACGCGGGCTTGGTCTAGGCGGGTCGCTGAGCCCTCTCATGTCTCTAGATCTTCCTTCTTGCCTCTGAGGGAGAGACGGCTGAAAGGTGTCGTAAGGATACAGCTCGCACGCTGTGGGTTGGAGAGCTCACGCTGCCATTTGGGGTTGCCAAAAGCGTCACAGGCCTCCAGAAGGCACTGATGCAGGGCTGAACTCGGACCCTGGCCCCGTCCTTTTGGAAGGGCCGTTAAGCGCTTTTTCATTTATTGTGTCTTGTGAACGGTGCACAAACGTGGACTGTACTTATAGAAGTGTTCTAAGCACGTTCTAAAGACTCGTAAACCTGAAGTGGCACCCTTCTAGCCAAACGCTGAAGAGCCTTCAATTCCAGGCAGCTGGAACTTTGAAATGACTTAGTGTGGAAAAATGGCTTTTTGGTTGTTTCATGCAGCTCTGGAAGTGATTGATGGCATGCTGCTTTAGATTAATAAAGAAACCTAGGCTTCTTTTTATAGGAGTAAATTGCATTCATGTGTTTCTCAACAATTTAAACTGTGAGCTAAGCGGCTGTAATATCAAAGGGATCAGTAACAGAGTCAGCAGTTTGGCTCAGGTGAGGGACCTGGCACTGAGAGGTGAGCTCTTCTCTGCCTAACTGGCTCTGCAGCCTGAAAAATAGAGCGTAACTAACTCTAAAAAGAAACTTTACTGCCTTCCTGGGTATTACTGCATGAAGGAACGATATAAAAGAGGTAGAATCTCTAGTTTACTGTTTTTATGACCAAAAAAAGACTGTCTCTAGCTTATCTGTCTTGTTTCCTTCAGAATTACAGTGATGCTGCAAAACACCATAAAGGACATATCTTCAAAATCTTTAAGTAGTAGCATGAGAATGTGGATGCCCTGTCCCTGGAGGTGTTCAAGGGCAGATTGGATGGGGCCCAGGGCAGCCTGGTCTAGTATTAAATGGGGAGGTTGGTGGCCCTACATGTGGCAGAGGGGTTGGAGATTCATCATCCTAGAGGTCCCTTCCGACCCTTGCCATTCTGTGATTCTGTGAAATGCAAATAGGCAGTAAATCAGAAGTAAGCATGGCAAAAAGTAGGTTATATCCAGCTTTGATGTACTAGAGCTGTGAGCAGGCCAGCTTGGGAGAGGAAGTGAGAAGTTTCAGTAAGTGGTCAGTTAGATTGAAATGCAGAGTAATGGGACACAAATGTAACTTCACTGTAAGAAGTTAAGTTTTGCTTCGTGAAGCATGGAAACTGGGTTATGGGATAAGAAACTTCACTCTTAATTGGTTTATGTAACTGCTGGACCTTTGGTGAAAATAAGATGTGAACAAGTTAGAAGAATCACTAAGATGAGGTGATTTCTTTATGGGAAGAGAAAAAGCAGATAGCTAAAATATCTTTATGCAGTGGAGCATATTAACCATTAATCTTTAAATTTGTGGGTTTCTTAATGACAGAAACTTTTCCAACAGAAAAACAGAAGCTCAGCAGTGATGCATATTTATTGCGTGCTGATCACTGGGGGATTTTGAGGCACATGTAAAGGAATTCTTCTTTGGCTGATCATGGTCTGCTTCAGTATTTCAAATTTGCAGAGCATTCTTGTATTGGATTCTGGCTACTTGGCATCTCATAGTCAGTTTGCAGCCTCAGGAGGCTGGGGGCACTGAGAGCCTCTGCAGCAATTCCACAGAGAGCCTGTCACTTCATGTTTCAAAAACTTGGCACAGAAGCTTTATGAAATAGTAAAATGTGTTTATACGAAGCTTGGCAAGCTGTTGGATCAAATGCTTGTAAAAGTGGTTGCTTGGGTCTCAGTGAATGGCTTGGGTACAGAAGAAGTTTTTAGGTGAAATAACAACTGAGTTTGGCCTTTTCAACCTGGAGTGGAATATCACTTGGGCGCGTTTCTAGTGAGCTGTTTGATTTCTGTGAAAGTGAAGTATTAAAGCGTTTTTTTTAGTAGGCAGTCAGGTCTGAACAATGTTGGTCTGACATTTGCATGTCATATAAGCATATTGAACACCTGAGTATCTTTTCCAGTAGTGTTTGTGTGGCCTGATGAGATCTAGAAGTATTACCTTTATTATATGCTTAGATAAGTAAGACATCTGGATTGTAAAATCTCAGTATCTATGTAGCCCAGAAGGGGTAGAAAACAGGTCTTTGTGTAAGCTGTCTAATAGCTTATTTTAGTGTTCACTAAAGCTAGACCAGTGGCTTGGAGGGGATGGAAGTAAGAATATGGAAATAAACTTTGTGATTGCAGTCCAGCTGTCAATATTAGGTACTTAGTTTTTCATGTAGCTGGAAAACCTGTTATTTTTGTGTGCATATCGCCTCAACAATAGTATGCTGACTTTGCTAATGTTTCTTTGGACACCAACTCGCATTTGTCCAGTAAAACAAAGCCTACACTTACCCAGTCATGGTTGGTACAGTATGATCCGTTTTGCATTACTTTTCTCGGTACATTCCTTACTTTTTCTTTGCTCAGTTTCAGCCACGATGGTGTTTTTAGTTAGGCTTCCTGTACTTCCTTATTGCAGGGGAGGCAATTTGTAGGAAAAAGCGTGGGTTGGAATTTCTGTTGTTTTTTTGGTGGTGGTGGTGTTGTGTATGTCTGAATTATTTCCCTGTACTCTTTGAGAAGATCGATCTGTCAGTTCACGCCACTGCAGGGTATTTCTGTTCTGTCATCTGTACGTCTGCTCACCTGCAGGAGTGTGTCTGGACATGTCAGCAAGCTGGGAAGGTACTGCTGTTAGTTAGGCAGGAATGCACCAGGAGTAATGGGATTCAGGAGTCAACTGGAAACAGGCTGTTCTTGGTTCTGCAATAGCCAATGTAGCACTTGTAAAAGCTGAGGCAGGTCTGAGGGAGCAAAAGCTCTCTAGTTCTTGCCGCTTGTGCTTGCTTTTAAGCAAACAGCTGAGCTGGCTGCTCTCTGTCACACTGTGGCCGTGTTATATAGAATCATAGAATGGCCTGGGTTGAAAAGGACCACAATGATCATCGAGTTTTAACCCTGTGCTATGTGCAGGGTTGCCTACCACCAGACCAGGCTGCCCAGAGCCACATCCAACGTGGCCTTGAATGCATGCAGGGATGGGGCATCCACAGCCTCCTTGGGCAACCTGTTCCAGTGTCATCACCCTCTGTGTGTAAAACTTCCTCCTAATATCTAACATAAACCTCCCCTGTCTCAGTTACCGTTCTTTGGCTCACTGTATGGCTGTGGACAACAGAGGTTATTAAAACAAAATTGCCAAGAACTCTTAAAAACAAAACAAAAACCTAAATATGTAGTATTTTTAATCCTCACGTTTCAATACACCTTTTAAAAAGTGGGTGGGTGCAGGGAAAAACAGGAATACAGAGCTTCCAATATGGTGTGTGCAGAAGGGCTGGGGGCTGCTGAGGAGTGAGCGCTGCCCCTGTTGACCCCTCCTCTCCTATTAATGAGTACTGAGAGCTTGGAGCTAAAGGGGAGTCTGTGCTACTCCATGCGGTGTCAGTGTGCAGAAGTGTGGATGTCTTAATGCTGGTATGAAGTGCTCACATCATCCAGGGGTTGAGTGAAAGTTAGGGAAGAGAAAGGAAGGGGAAGTCCACAGTCAGAGTAAGTATGAATCTAACCCAAGAATGCTGGCTTTGTTTCCTGCCAAGTAACTTTTAGTTTTACGTTATTATTTTTTAATATTATGAATTGTGTTTGTTCAAAGCAGAAGTGAAAAATCTTGATGAAGAGAGGAATGCTGTGGAGAGCAGCCACGCTGAACCAAACAGGCGTTCCTGTGGTGTGGCTCAGGCAACTGGGATTTCTGCAGACATTGCTGTGTTGCTCAGAGATTGCATCTGGTCACACATATGACCGACATCGCTTTGGTGGTGGAAAACCTGCAGCTTAGAACAGGCAGAGGCAGTCTGTGTAATCTACTAAATCAGTATTAGTGTAACAATGCGCTTCTCCCAAATTGTTGTTCTTCAAAACTTAAATACTGAACTAATCAAGCACAAGTGTGTCAGGAAGTGAAACTCACGCTGGAGTTGACTAAATGCTACAAACAAGCAGTGCTGGGGTTGCAGTCACAGGGCAATGAGTGCTTGGATGCTGCAGCTGCCCTTGCTGTTGAGAGACAGCTCCTTGATGTGGTAAGGAATGTACGTTCTTGAATGTGTACCTACAGCGTTGTGTACCAGTGCAAGTATGTGCTTGTAAGATATTTGAGAGTCTGTGATAAGTTATTCAAACTTCACATTCACTATTTGACATTCTCTGGAACTGAGGTGTTCTGAATTGTCAGTTGTAGTTGCTGTTTGCTACTGCAGCCCTGTGATGATCTGCATCACAGGGATGTTGACCCAAATCGGAGAGCAATGGATATGATCTTGAGCAATTACCTTTCTCTGCTGCAACATCTCTACCTTTAATGGTACTAGGGAAGATGTTTTTTGCTCCTCACTTTCATTGTTTTTTCCCCCTTGAAAAGCTTGCTAGCTTGGGGAAGATAGAATGGCTGAAGGTGTTGTTGGTACCTTGCTATGTGATCTCTTTGTAGCCAGATAAACCTAAATATGGGGTTATGTGCAAATCCTGAGAATGT